ATATATATATATATATATATATATATATATATATATATATATATATTGTATATATATTCCCGACGTGTTAGATAAGTTTACACGCATTAATCTCGCCGGCGGAGTCCCGCCGCCTCTCTAACGATGTAATGAACACCGTGCATTTTTATCGCGCGCCATTTCTCAAATCGTACACTCCGCCGACGGTCCACTCTCAGAGCACCCACCCATCCAGGCAATTTATTTTCATTTCTCCTAACGATTCGACCCGTTTCCCCCTGGCCCCCTTTCACCCTCTCCCTTCCTCCTTCCTTTCCATCCCCCAGCCCGCTGCCTTTGCGCGTTCCACTTTCTACACGAATATAATTCGAGGACGACGAATATAATTCGAGGCCCTCGCCAAGGCACGCGCGATTTGCTCGGGCGCGATCGATCGCATCGACGTTACGGCTCGAGGAATCTTATAACGCGATTACGAGTAAGCTGGAAAACGTGTATAATGGCTTCAGCGTCTCGAGCGGCGCGACATCGGAAGCGACCGTGTTGACCCGTTGACGAAAAGCCAATCGCGGGAGCCCGTCAATAATCAGACTAATTAGGCCGAGCTAGCTAGAAAGCCGCTTCACCCGGCAAAATACACATGATCTCATCCTCAGCGGAATCCTCTTGCATACTCGAAAAAATGGTCTTGCAGTCACACATATAGATTCGAGAAAATAGTCAAGATGAACAAATGACTGCAAATGTTTTGTATTTAATCAATATTAGATGACAGAGACAGAATTCCTCTATTTGTGAAACAGTGAACTATTTGTGAAATTTAGCAAGAAAGTCTCTCTGTAGCACCCATCCAAATTAAAACCAGTTACACTTTTTAGCAAAATTGACTGTGGTGAGCGAAAAAGATTGGGCGGAACGAACAAATGTGTAACCCCCACACCTATCTGAATTTGCTTGCGGATATTGCTAGAATGCTGCTGCTGCAAATTCTGTATACCACAGACAATTTTCTAGCAGATACGAAAAAAACAGCGACAAACTAACATTTAGAATTCTATTTGGACCAACAAAATATTTTTTTTAAGTACATGGCCTCAAGAAGATTTCAAAACCGAGAGGAAAATATTCTAAGTACAATATTATTCCTCTTCATTAAAAGAGAAGTGCTCTTTCGGTAAAAATTTTCGCTTGGAACATGGAATTACAGGAAACAGCATCTCGCAACTGAAGTTTCTTTTTTCGATGTTTTTCGAATATGTTCTTTTAGGTTTTAGAGCCCTCTTGGGAGGCTATATATAAGAGGATCTCTGCTAAGAATGAGATTATATCTTTCGACCGTTTCTCGCTGATTTCGACTTGTGGAAGTAAGATATCACTGCAAACTCTGTAATACACAAGTTGGTTACGCTCTATTAAGTGCAACTTTCTACGTTTGTGGTGATAAAATGAACGGCTTCCATGAGCTTTGCGCGCGATGACATTCTGATGTTCGTGAAATACATCAGTCACTTCTGTTAACTAATCTTTGCAGCGAAATTTTATTATTTGCAATGCTATACATATACAACTAAATCACCATCATTTTAGTGAAAAATATGCTGCTTGTATTTCAAAGAGTATGCGCGAGCATTGATTTTTCGACACGACACCTTCCTGTTATACAATCGAATTACTCGAGTTCCGTTAATAGCTCATCGATACAATACGCTACCCTACGATACAGTAGGCGACACGATGGATCCGCGACTTGGCTCGTTCACCGGTACACCCACGATCGTAGTCAACCGTGTAGTCGACGCATGTACGCGGAAAGCGTACGCGTTGTTTGCGACTAACAATTCGAAGCGTATCCGATTGCACGTAACACGGCGAGTACAACGCACCACCGCGGCAGCGCACAAGCTTGTCTTACGAGATATTAAGCCTAAAAGCGGGCCAATCTCGTGTACGTTGCGTGTGTCGCGTAATGTAAGGTGACCAAATTTCCCAGACCTATAGGAAATTTCATGAATGTGTCGGACGAGAAGATGAGAGTAAAAAAATTACTGAAAATTATATATATACAGGATGTCCTGGAATTGATGAGAAAAAATTAAAGGACATATTTTGCACACCAAAATAAAGAATTTTTTTTATCAACATCCAAAAATACCCTCTTTAAACTAGAGTCCTAATTAGAGTCAATATTGTCGAGAAAAACTTGAATTTTCTGTCCAAACTTTTCTGTTCAAACTTCAACTTCAAATTCTACGAAAATTGATATATTAATATATCAAAATACGCTTTTTTCATTTTTAATACCAAAATTTTTCTAGAAAATTTCTAAGAGGGATTTTTAAGGAGATCCACATTTGTATATGTGTGCAAAGTTTAGATGTAAATGCAAAGTTTAGATGAAAATGTCAAATACGTTTCTCGATAGAAAATTAAAAAATAAACATTTTTTGACTTTATCATTTTTCTCAAACGACAAATAATTTTTAAGATAATCAGCCTACAAGTGAGTTGCAAGCTGATTCAGAGCGCTTTTCGCTCATTTCACTGAAACGGGACGTCTGGTCACCTTAAGAATGGAACCGGTATTTCAAAAATTCGCCGTGACGACAATATCGGCCGAGAAGCCGATATATCGACGCACCGCGTCCGCGAGGCGAACAGATTCGCTCGCGCGTGAAATCTGTTTGCCAGCTTTATCGCGCGCGTGCGTAGTTTTATGGCGCACAACCGTTTGAAAAATAAAAGAGTCCGGGGGCACATCGAATATCCTCCAATAACTCTTTGTCCCGCGGCGATTCTCACTGCCGTCGCCGCCTCACATGGCCGTATTTTTTCAGTTGTATAATACTGAGTAGTTTATTAGTATGGCTATGTTTTTCAACCCTTTTTCCTTTTTTTATCTCCCTTTCTTCTAAGAGCCCACGCAAAAGAACTCATTAGCTCTGATTTTGTTTTTTAGCCTTGTTGTTGCCATTTGTCCAATGTACGCATTTTAGGTTATATCCAAATATAATGAACACGTTTGTCTCTCTCTCTCTCTCTCTCTCTCTCTCTCTCTCTCTCTCTCT